TCCCCGCCAAACTGATATGGCTGTGTAAAATGACGTTGAGCAATACCACCAGCTCCGTCAGAATTGGGAAATACCTCTCCGAGCCGTTAGCCACCAAACGGGGTTTCAGACAGGGCGACTCCCTTTCATGTGACTTCTATAATCTGATGTTTGAAAAGATAATAAGAGCTGCAGAACTCAACCGCTCAGGAACAATTTACTACCATAGCGTGCAATTGCTGGCGTACGCCGATGACATCGAAATCATCGTTAACAAGAACCGCGAAGTCTGTTCTGCCTTTTGCAAGTTGGATAAGGAAGCAAAGGGAATGGGTCTGGTGGTAAACGAGGACAAAACGAAGTATCTCCTGGCATCAAACAAACAGTCAGCACATTCGCGCCTTGGCACCCACGTCACTGTTGACAGCTATAATTTCGAGAAAGTAGAGAATTTCGTTTACTTGGGAACCAGCATTAACACCGAAAATAATGTCAGCCTGGAAATCCAACGCAGAGTCACTCTTGCCAACAAGTGCTACTTTGGACTGAGTAGGCAATTCAGGAGTAAAGTCCTCTCTCGACGTACGAAAACGACACTCTCTAAGTTACTCTTCATGCCCGTGCTGGTATATGGCGCAGAAGCATGGACAATGACAACATCCGATGAGGCTGCTATTGGAGTATTCGAGAGAAAGATTTTGAAGAAGATTTACGGGCCTTTACGCGTTGGCGACGGCGAGTACCGCAGACGATGGAACGATGAGCTGTATGAGCTTTAAAACGACATGGACATAGTGCAGCGTATTAAAATACAGCGGCTCCATTGGCTTGGTCATGTCGTTCGAATGGACACCGACGCTCCAGCTCTGAAAGTATTCAACTCGGAATCCGTTGGTGGTAGCAAATAAAGTAGATAACAAGAAGGGACAACTCGTTATAATTGTAGCAAAAGAGAAGGCATGCTCCTGTTGCGCACTTTCGGTACAATTATAACGACTTTCCCCTTCTTGTTATCTACGTTCTTTGGTGGTAGCTTAGGAAGAGGGAGGCCCCCACTGCGATGGAAAGGCCAGGTGGAGAAGGACTTGGCTTCACTTGGCATTTCCAATTGGCGTCAGTTAGCACAGAAAAGAAACGACTGGCGTGCTTTGTTGAACTCGGCCAAAATCGCTTAGGCGGTTACAGTGCCAAACAAGAAGAAGAAGAAGCATTAGAAAAAAAATAGTTTTCGAGATATAAGCAAAAGTCATGTTTTCCAGAACCTTTCGGTCCTGTTGCTAGAAATCTGCGGGAATGTAAGCCGAGCCAAACTATGTTTTGTATTTCGGAATAAGCATTTGTTTTCCTTTACATTGGCGTTATATAAGTGATGATTAAAGAAATAGGTTCGGGTATACAAACGTTTAAATTTAGATAAATGTCAATTTAGATAAATCTACGATATTTCAGTAAATATTGTATCCTAATTGTTGAAAATTGGTATGTGAAGTAACATTTTGGAACAAAATAGGATTATTATGAAGTTTTTGGAAAATGGGAGTGGCCCCGCCCACTTATGATGAAATGCTGTATCTCAGTATCCGCTTCACCAATCCATACCAAACTCAGTATGAGCCTTGCTTAGGCTATATCTAACATATCTGCTTAAAATCCTTGAAATCGGACGACAACCCCGCTCACTTCGCATATAACGTTTATTTACAGGAACACGAAAATTGCGATAAATCAGTAATTACTGAAGCTAATTCACTCAAAATCGATTCTTGGAATAACCTCTTAGCACTAAATTACATTATTATATTTTTTTATTTTTTCAACCCCATTTCCATTGATACACATATGGCGGCAATTTATTTAACTAGTTGAATACATTTTTTAACAGGTGGCAACTCTGTTAATGTTTTAACCTAGATATAAACCTTCTCCTCGCCGAGACGAACACGTAAATATGTATGTTCCTACAATCGGACCACGACAACATGGGGTCTATCGATGTCAACTTTATTTTCTTAGTTTTGATAGATTAATTGGACGTCGTCCCCTTCTATTTACTTGATTTTAAACATTTACTATTCTATATGTCAAAACACATCTTTTCTAAGCATTTCGAGTTGAAATATTCATACAAAATAATTTTGGCCGGATAAATCGGCCAAATACCCCTATGTGCATCGGCGGATAAGTGCATCCAAGCCATGTGAGTAATTGAATTTTTGAAAAAGAGACTACTATATGTCAAGTACAGAGTAGTGAGCATTGTGGGAGAATACAAGTGAGATATCTTGGGGTTGACAGATAGTTGACAGGGTGTTCAATATGGCGATGACAGTGTGAACAATATGGCNTAAATACCCCTATGTGCATCGGCGGATAAGTGCATCCAAGCCATGTGAGTAATTGAATTTTTGATAAAGAGACTACTATATGTCAAGTACAGAGTAGTGAGCATTGTGGAAGAATACAAGTGAGATATCTTAGGGTTGACAGATAGTTGACAGGGTGTTCAATATGGCGATGACAGTGTGAACAATATGGCAAGCAAAACCGAACGGCCCGAAGCTGCAAAACTACGACCCGAATGAAATAATTCGCGAAAAAATAACGGGAAATGCCAGGGTTCCGAGGTGCTGTTTGGTGACCAGGGTTTTGTGCAGCTCCGAAAAAAGATGAAACAGGGTTCTGTATTTATTGGAATTACAGAAAAGTGTTGCTTTGTAGCATAATTTTTTAATTATAATTTTATTCCAAATAAAGAAAAATTAAATTTTATCGAGTTTCGAAGGAACAAGAAATATCAATAAAAATAATTTTTAACTATGGTTTTTAATAAATTGAGTAAATTTTTTATTTATTTTGAGACAAAATTTAAGTATACTTAATATTTCAGCATGCTACTGTGGCTGCTTTCGTCACTGGCGCGCACTGCCGTGCGCTGTGATAAATATTATCTGAGAGTTATGATGTTATTCAATAATCCAGTGTCATCTCAAGTCACTAAATTTGAGACAATTCGGGTTTTCAGAGAGAAAAACAGTCAGCTTATCGTATGTACCAGTTGGTGTCGTTTGGAAGAAAATTGATTATTGTATTTCATTCCTACACGTACTTGAACAAAATGCCAGATCAGTGCTCATAATTGTGAACACATATTAGGTTCGTTCGCGTAGCTGTTAATTGTTCATGTTTAACCAAAACTTACAAGTTTTTGCGTTCGCGTACGCAAAAAACTTGCAAAGTAGGGGAAATTGAGAGAGCAAAGTGACATTTCATTTTGAGGGGAAGCTGCAAATCGCAAAATTTAATTTGATGGTTTGGAAGATAAAAATTACAAAATGCGACTAATTAAACTTGTAAGAAATAAGTAGTTATTTGTTTAATCAATAAACTGTGTCAGTATAACACTTTGCGACGACTTTTCGTACGTTTTAAATTTTACAC